TTAAAGTATTAAGTAACATATATAATTGTTTTATCATCTATGACTTGTTCCCAATTGCCAAATAGAGAGAGCTTTAACTCTTTACAAATCCGAAGGCAGTATCTCTCAACTACAAAATAAAAAATTAAGCTGGCCCACATCTATTGTACCATTGATTGCTCATTAACTTTTTCTTTGTTGCTTCGACGTTAAAATACTTTCTTCGTTGCTAAGCATTGCCTGTTTTACAGGAACGTTTGACTACATCCAGTCATTTCTGTGTTGGAGTATCTTTTTTCTACTTATCTACTGACTTTTGGCTTGATCATCGGAGAAGAAAAGGAGCCCAGAACTTAGAAGGATTCAATCCGAATGACGATGGAAGGTGAATTCAATTCAAGCTCTTTATTAATTGTTGTATATGTGAATAATCCGTTTTCTTTTTAATATTCTGATGTAAATTACCCTTCTTTTCGTGGGAGTGGGAGTACAGAGGGTGAGATAAAGTTTATATGGAAAATACAGAATTTCTCGAAGCTTCATTTGCAGGAGCCTCTCTGCTCGAAGGTCTTCTCCCTCGGAGATTACAAATGGTACTTTAATTTTGTTTTCCTTTTGGTCATGCATAAATAGAATAGATTATACAGAAATGTTTTGTGCAAAGCCGCCTCCCTTTTTTCTGTCTCTCCCTCGTACCCTCCGTCCTCTCTTGGTTATTCTTTTTCTCTAGTCGCCGGCTGAGAAGGGAGAGTGAATAAAGTGTCTCTCTCTATTTAAGGTTTTCTCTCTCAAAGAAGTATTGTCTCCAGGAATGAGGTAGTATTCAGAGGGGACCTTGCGAATGTGGATCGGATGTTTGATCAAATACAAGTGAAGTCTTTTTTGTGGGTAAAAAATTAAGGGAAGGGAGGAAGTTTTGCTTCTTCTTTTTTTATTGGATTTTAAATCCCAGCTGTTGTAAAATCTCTCAAAAGGGGGCATATGAGGTGCCATTAATTGGCAAGGCAATGCTTGAGTCACAGCTTGCCTTTTCAATGTAAATGAGTTAGAGTACCTTTGTACTCAAAAATAAAATTTTTTTTACCTTTCCAAAAATAGAAATTTTGTCACATTTTTTTCTTTAAGAGTTTCTGCCTAGGCTTTTTGAATGTATTTCATTGAGTTTTGTTTATGATAGAGAATGAAAATAGCATAAATTTGAGGTTGAATGAGATTAGTTCGATTGCAGCACTTTTTTTAGTGAGATCCTTGGGTAATCTTCCTTCAAAAAATCATGAGTAGTTATTGGCGAGACGTAGTAATGGGAGATACCGCATATGCCTTCTATGAGTGGTAAGATAGGTCAGGTTTTAAGAGGTGATAGTAAAGTTTCAGCATAATCTTCCATGTATTCATGGAACAATTGATGCTCCTATAACTTTTACCAATAGCTTAAGGCTAACCTTTTGTTAAAAATCTCTAGTTATTGGTGGGGCAATGTAGCAATGGGAGATACTACATCGCTATGTCTTCTACTCTCCCTTACTAGGAATTAGTGATAAGTGAGGTTTTTAGAGGTGATAGTAAAGCTCCAAAGTAACAGGTCCATGGCATCCATGCCCCTGTTGATGCCCTATAGCTTTTACTAATGCCTTGAGGCTCTCCGCACTTAATTGCCCACATTTGTCATGTGCAATAACTCTTTGTATTAATGCTATAGGTACTTTTCTAATGTTTTTATATTTCTTTGTTTAGCTTATATGGCGCTTCATAGGCAAGATGTGAACTTTTTTCATCCTAATAAAACTATGCAATTCTATTAAAATACAAAGAAATGTTTTATGCAATTCAGACTACATAAAACTAAGCATTAGATAGAAGCATACCCTTTAATATAGTGTGAACTACAATTAATTGCAAAACATCAACCATTGAATGGAGACCAATTAATGGTTTAAGTTTTGTTATTTAGTGTTATTTGAACTGCACAACACTTTTTTTATTTTATTATATTTTAAGAATGTTGTAGCAAACAATACTATTTAACTATTAATAAAGGAGTAGACTCTCAATATTAGGGACCCACCCCTCCATCAATGGTTATATGCACTTCAGTCCCTTCCCCCCCCCCCCCCCCCCCCCCCCCTTTTTTTTATTGGCATTAAACTGATGATTTCAGTTCTGCAGGCGGATAGTAGTTTCCTCCAAGGAAAATATGGATCATTTGTCGATTTATCTGCAAGTTGTAGATTCATTGACTTTGCCCTCTGGTTGGAGTCGAAATACAAAATTCTCCTTTATTATTGTCAACCAAATTGATGACGAATCCTCAGTGAAAAAAGGTATATATAGCAACATTGCTTAAATTTAAAGGATTCGGTTGGAGTCTTAATTTCATGTCAAGGGACATACCTATATTTAGTTCAAATAGTAGTTGATGATTGACCCAATTGCTCTGTGCCGCAGCGACACCGAGAGTGTGTAAATTTGATGCACAGGCAGCAACGAAGGGCTCCACTAGATTCATCTCTCTTGAGAAGTTGCGTGATCTTGAAAAGGGTTATTTGGTGGAAGACACATGCATAATTGAGGCTGATGTTACCATGTTCAGGGGTGAGAGCCCCGTCGTGCCCGGACCCTGGTCTGGGAATACAGCCCCAATCGGACGGAAAGACAGCAATGATGAGATAGCTACCGGATGTAAGTTAGCTACAGAAAACCCAACTGAAGAAGATATTAATGCATTCTTCGTGGATTTGGGCTCTGAGATCTCTAGTGGTCAAAATCTTTCTCCAAAAGAAGAACTAAAAGAAGCTCTGACAAGGATAAACGACACTTTGAACATGGATCCAGCTGACTTAAATGATGCAGGGAGGATTTATAAAATAAAAAATGCATTTGATGTTTTATCTTCTCTTGATACTTACTCTGTACTTACAACTGAGCAAAAAGAAGTACTAACCATGAAGGAAAAAATTATTGACTTACCTGAGAGAGCAGCAAAAGCATCTAAGGACAAGAAACTGTTTGCGCACAAGGAATTTGTCAAGATGACGCTCCATCGTAAACTGGGGAGGTGTCTAATTGAGTTTAAAAGGACTAAGGAAGAAACTGAACAACAGGAACGGAACATTGCCACCCTTCAGGAGAAAGTTGATTCCCTTCTTGCTGAAATTGGTGAGGCACGAAAGAAGAAATGCGGTTTATCATCCAAGCAAAAAGAAATGTATAAACTTTCCAAGGACTTGAAAGCTGAACTCGATGAGCTAGAAAAGCAGTGGCCAGAGTATGAAGCAAAGATGAAGGCTGCTGAAGAGGAGGAGAAAATGGTTCATACAGAATGGCACAAAATGAAACAAATTGTTTCATCTCTAAATAAAACTCTTTACCCATTTGGTTTCAGGCATTAATATATGTAAGAAGTAATATGTGAATGTTTTCGTGTTGGATATTTGGTTTGGTAAGCCAGGTTCAAAAACTATTAAAACTAGTTTAAAATGTTGTAAGGCTTGAAATTGGGTGACTTCACAAAAAGATTTCACTCACAGTAAGTATTAACATTGCTTGACCTTGACTGCATGCTAGTGCAAGTCCCCTAGCTGCAGCAGCATGGCAACTCCATTCTCCATGGATGTGTCGCCAACCACATTTGAATTGAACTGGGACTTGTGGAAGACTTCCAAAAGGATTGCAATGATTTGCAATTCAGATACTCGACATTCAAGCCTGACTCAGCAAAATGTATGACCTATGATACATAAAGCTCAAGCAACAAGAAACTGCCACTCACAAGACCTGTGGAAGTAGAACAGAGAATGTGTGGTTAAAACAAGTACCTGTAAAACATAGGATGGGTGCATAAAAATCATTGATCATCCTTGTTTCCAATGAAATCAGGATAATGGTTCTGAACCCATTGGTTCTTTTAACCAAGATAACCTTGAATTTAAAAGCATTCCACATCTCAACATCTGGATACTATTCAACAGTGAAATCATGAGGACCACAAAAGATGGCACGGTTAAATTAGAATGATCATAGAAAAAAAAAATTGAGAGCAAAGAAAATATAAATTCATTTTAAGCAAACAGTTCTAGACAATCATTAATTCATTAAATTAAGAAAAAACAGACATGGCAAGACATGGATTAAGCAACACATCATTACAGAAGTAGCCAGACCTAGCATCTCCTGTTTCCTTATTTCCAGATTTCCTAAGGACAAATTTCTGGGCAGAAACTCAGAAGCACCACAATATACTATCACCATTTTTCTGGAAAAAAAATAATAAAATAAACTTTCCCAGAAATTTGTCATAGAATCAAAAGGACCACAGTATACTATCACCATTTTTCTGGAAAAAAAAAATAATAAACTTTCCCGGGGTTAGAATTGGTTTGAAGGAAATTTGAAAGCAATGAATATTTCCAAAGGATTATTCATTTCCCATGAACAAACACATGAATTGAAAGGGTGGCCTGGAAACAATCAAAACACACCTAATTTAAGTATTATTTGCTCTTCCAGTATATTTGCATGCAGATCCCAAAATGCATTCATTGAAAGAATTGAGTAGAAATTGGCTTCAATGGCAACACTCATAATATTTTCTTCTCCATCATCATTGCTTTGATGGCCCTCCAAGCTCGTAAAGCATACATCTTGACATTCTTCCACGGTTCAACCTCTGCAAAATCCATAAAAAAAAAGAAAAGAAAAGAAAAGAAAAGAAGTTAGGTTCAAACTCATGATCAAAATCTTGTAAAGGCAGCCTCCCAGAGTTTGAAAACTTCAAGTCAACAAATAAGTATGAAATTAATTTTGTACCTTTGATCATCATTTTTTGCACACTTTGTATTGAATCTACTGAAAAGCAAGAGCTAGAGTTTGATTATACATATCAATACTTTATTATCATGAGAGATGAGAAATACTTATTATCTGTTACTAAAATTTGGAAAACAAAAGAGAAAGATTTTAAAGAAATCAAAAATCTTCTTCTCACCCCAGTGCTACCACTACTGCACCCAATCTTTTTTCAATCAAGAAGAATGCTGGTAGGACATGGATTCCCAGAGGCCACTTTTGAGAAAACACAATTCTTGGCACGAGCAGTAGAAATTCAAGCCCAGAATTTTGCCCCATATGTTATAGAATTTATTTTGAAAAGACAAAGCAAAAATGCTAGAAACATTAAAAAATAATAAAGTAATTGGCTTAAATTGGAAGCAAAAAATACAGTATAAAGAATTAATGAATAGAAGAATTGACTTTAACACACCTGATTGTCATGATTTCTACACTTGATTGACTGGGACTACAACAAAACTCCAGCAGATAAAAGTAATCTCTCCTTAAAATTTGAAATGAATCTGATGAATGTTCAAGCACCCAAAAATCATCTACATTCCATTGATGTCATGGAGAAAGAAGAGGGCAGCATGGCCTAGATGTTAAGAAAAAGTATCACGAAAATCTTATCTCTGTCCCTTGAATTTGTAATAAATTTTCATGAATGCTTTAAAACAACCAAAACTGAATTTAGTGACCCAACTTTGACAGTCATCTACTTGGCAGCTCTTTCAAAGAAAATGCAGGAAGCTTATCAAGAAGCTCTTGATGTGTTTCATCCTTCAAGTTTGAGAGTAATTCTGAGACAATGCGAATAGTAGTTGTATCAGGGGACAAATTTTTCTGTTTCATTTTCAAAAGAAATTCAACAACTTTGGCAGTCTCATTCTTTTGGGAGAAACAATAAATAAATGTATTAAATGTCACCACATTTGGAGCACAACCCTTCTCCTCCATTTCCCTTAATAAATCACTTGCCCTGTCAAATAGTCCAATTTTACACAGCCCATTGATCATGACAGTATAAGTAACTGTGTCAGGATGTTGTCCTTTCTGAATCATCAACTCAAAAAGTGCATTTGCTTCTTCCATCCTCATTGCTTTGCAAAGTGCATTCACCAAGGTAGTATAAGTGATTGTATTGGGGTGCTGACCTCTCTCAATCATCAAATCTAATAATCTAGTTGCTTCCTCCATTCTCCCTTCTTTGCAAAGTGCATCAATCATTGTGTTATAAGTTACAATATCAGGATGCTGACATTTTTGAATCATCCACTGTAGCAATCTATCTGCTTCTTCTAGTCTTCTTTGTTTACAAAGTGCATTAATCAATGTGTTATACGTCACTGTATTAGGATGCTCATTTCTCTGTATCATCAAGTGTAGTAATTTATTTGCTTTATCCAACCTCACATCCTTGCAAAGTGCATCTATCAGTGTGGTATAAGTTACCGTATCAGGATGCTTACCTCTTTGAATCATCAAGCCTATTACTCTATTTACTTCTTCCATCCTCCCTTGTTTACAGAGTACATCGATCAGTGTGTTATAAGTAACTGTGCCAGGCTGGTGACCTCTCTGAAACATCAAGTCTAGCAATCCATATGCTTCTTCAACTCTACCTTGTTTACAAGGTGCATCAATCAATGTGGTATAAGTAACTGTGTTAGGACACTGACCTCTTTGGATCATCAAGTCTAATAATTCATTCGCTTCTTGCAATTTTTGTTGCTTGCAAAGTCCATCAATCAAAACAGTGAATGTCACCACATTAGGTTGCACTCTTCCATCCACCATCTCAATGAATAAGCCTTTAGCCTCCTCCAAATTACCCCCGAAACAGAAACCGTGAAGTAGAGAGGTATAAACAACGACACCAGGAGAAATTCCTCTACCCTTCATTTGGGAGAAAAGTTGTTTTGCCTTTTTAACCATCCCATGCTTGCAAAGGCCATCAATAATGCTACCATAAGTAACCACATCAGGTTGACAGCCAAAGACAGACATGTTCTTAAACACCCTAGTTGCTTCCCCAATCTTGTTGTCCACACACAACCCCTTTATCAAAGTGCTGAAAGTGGCAGAAGTTGGGGTATAACCGCTCCTCAAAATCTTCCCCAAAACCAAAAAACCATCAGAAGCTAGACCCATTTTGCAACAACAATTAAGCAAGATATTCAAAGTTCTAATATCAGGAAATACCCCAACTGAGTTCAATCTTTGGTAAAACGAAATCACATGATCATGGCGTTGAATCTTAGCAAGGGCACCTAACAAATGGTTGAATGATGAGACAGGAGGAGGGGGTAGCATGCGGCTCATGTAATCAAAGAAATGCAGGGCTTGATCTAGAGTGATGGCACCTGACTTGCATTGTTTGGTGAGAAAATGATGCAGGGAATGCGGGTTTGGAACAAAAGATTTGGAACTGGAATGAGAGAGCTTACCCACAACAGCAGAGGAAGCAGAGGATGATGATGAAAATGCTTTGCTGAAAGCAGCTGGTATTACCTTTCTCGTACCCATTTTTTATGCACTTGTGCTCTGCGGAGAAGACGAAGAATGTGCGCGACTTTAAAAAACCAATTGGTGTTCCAGAAAATTATTAATTTGTTCGGCCCAAATGTATTTGTTTTATTGATTGAGCCCATTTAACATTCGGCTTCGAAATTGGGCTGGATATGGAAAGAATGAAATGATTGACTGGATCCCAAATTGAAGAGTGATTTAAAAATATTGAATTAATCAAAATTAAAATCTTATTAAAAGTATAATACCAATAAAAAATTAAATAATACAGATTACTTTCATTTTTTTTAAAAAGGTAAAAGTCATGTTCCGACATTAAAAATATTAAAATGTTTAATTACAATTATTAATCTTTAAAATATAATATAAAATTTTAATTTATCATATTTATTATGGGATTATTATTATTAGATGTCATGTTAATTTTCCCTTAGACGTCTTGTAATTTGTTTCTTATGAAGCTAGCATTGAGACAGTTACATGTACGATAGAGTACTTTGATCCTTACATATTAAGGTTGCCCAGCTCAAATTTAGTTTTATTTTGATTTCTTAAAATCGTTGACTTGATCTATTGATTAAATTGTACAATTTTTTTTCTTTTTGATTTTGGATCACACAATAGGTGACAAAATTTTTTTGCCCTTCCATCACTAATCTCACCTTTTTGTATCTTACGTAATTTAAATTTAAAATTTTTTATTTTTATTGTAAATAAATTATTACTAAATTACCTAAATATTCGTTGTATTGCAATTTGTTACTGACTACAGCCTATATATCCCAATTAGTGGGTTGGCTAACTATTTTTTTTTATAGAAAATAGAGAATTATATTAAAATATAAGGAGATTACAGATAAATCTCTATCAAGGGCATTATAGCCAAATTAAAGATAAGAGCGTAACCTACAGCAAATTTAAATTGTGCCCATGACAAATATGAACAATTAAGCGAAAAAGGCCATTTGTGACTAAAAATTATAGCTACAATCGCTGTAAGGGCAAAAATAAGGCTATAGAAGTAAAAAAAGAGGTATAAGTGTCTGAAACTACTGGACTTCCTCACCTATTTGGCCAGCTTCATGGGGAGGGCAGGAAAACTCGACATCAACAGTCCCCAATCCGCTAGATGTCATCCCGTGCTAATGCATACTTCAACCGGCATGAGGGTCATGACCTTTAGCCGATTGAGCTAAAGCCACCCCTGTATTGTTTACCAGCACTTTAAGGGCTCGCTCTTCTTCCATAGGTGTGAGACAACTCCTCCGCTTGTTCTGAGTCCCATTCTCTGTGGTCCCTGCAGAAGCCACTTCACAAGCTAACCGTTTCCAGCTGCCCTTATTTGCTTTTGCAATGGTCCCTTTCCCTGTGTGGTTTCTCATGTCCCCAAACTAGTGCAACAAAGGAACGTCCACCAGCTGTACCCCAGCAATTAGAGACAGAACAGCTCGAGATGGATTTATCTCAACCTCCAGGCCCATGCCAGTTGTACCATTCTCTATGTTTTCCCCCTAGACCTGCCCGGTATCATTGTTACCACTCACAACTTGGCTTCCACAAAGGGGCAAATTAGGAAGGGTTTGGATTTCTGCATGTGCAGAGTGCTGTGGGTCATCTACTCGCTTAGCAGCCCCCAAAAATTGGGTATTTGTGGAGAAAGAATCATCCAAAATAGCAAAGTTGTCCAGACACCATGAGTTCTCAAATTCAGCCTTTAACCAAGAACCAAAACGTCGGATAATCTTACCACCTGCATCTTTAATACAGTGAGCAATTTCACAATCATTCTTAACATGACCCAAACACCCACATACAAAACAAAACTCTGGGAGTTTGTCATATTTAATCCTGAGGTTCCTACTTTCAGTAATAGTAAGTTGCGAAGTCTTGAACCTTCGCAGTGGGTTCTCGACGTCCAATTTGATTCAAACTCTAATGGCTTTCTTGAATCCCTCATCCACCTCTAGGACTTTTCCTAAAGAGCTTCCAATCATGAAACCAATCTGCTCAGAGTGCAACCCGACCGGGACATCGAAGATCCTGACCCAAAATGGGTTCGTAGAGAAATTGTATTGCTCTGGAGTTAGGGAGGCCTGAAATCTTTTGAGGATGAATAGTGAGTTACTAAAGTTCCAAAGACCCCTATGGATGACTTTGTTAAGATCTCCAATATCAAAAAATTGAAAAAGATAGATCTTTTCTCCAATCTCTGAAAATTTGAAAACGTGCTTAGGGTTCCAAGAGGCCATTAAAGCATTATGTAAGCCATTAAGATTAACCCGCCGTCGAGATAGCAGTTTCCCAACCAGCCGCAACCTGCCCACATTAGCTTCATTTTGCTTCCACGTCGTATATAGTGGAAGAATCCCATCGTCCTTCTCCGCAATTCGAATTCGGCTAAGCATAGACCCAATATCCTCCTCAGCCATCGTTGGGATGCTGTTGCAGTGGCAAAAACAGAGTGATGGAGTAGAGATCTGGCTCGCCTAACCGGATCTGCAAAAACAGAAACCTTGGAGAAACAGGGGTTGATGGCGCACCTAATCGGATCTGCAAGTACACTATCCGGCGGTGGAGAAGTGAGTAGCAAGAAGAGGAGGGGGTCTTTGCAACCGGAAGGAATCTCGAAGGAGAGGCCTGTCGTCTCCAAACCCTAGCTTGCAGAGTTTTGGAGCACGGGAGAGTGGGTTGGCTAACTATTTAATTGATCTATACATATATTTAAGAAAAACAAGTACAACTATATTTTACATAAGAAAAATATTTCAACATAAAAGATGTATCAGCCATCTTCTTTATGTAAAATATAGTTGCACTTGATTTTCTTAATCCAACTATTAAATTATGCAGTTGAAATTTTTTTTACCTTCGATTCAAATTTAAAATTAATAATTATTAATAAATGTGTTATAAAATATGTTAAATTAAATTATAGATCAATTATTACCCTTTACAAAATTGATGATTAGAAGCCACAACAAATAATTTTAGCATTTTTCTGTACTGTCCAAACTCTTGAAAGGGTCTAGATCCAGTTACATAGATAATATGATCCATAATGCTTAAGAAGCAAGAAAATGCCACTCTCAATTGTCCAAAAAAATAAAAAAAAACCCCAGATAGACGGGCCTATTATTATTATTTTTTATCTAGTCTGGTACATAAAAACACAGATTTCAATTAGCACATACACAAGAACATGCCAGAACCAGTACTGCAGCACATGCTGGAGCATAGTTCCCTGCCTTATTTGGTAATGTTTTTTTTATCATACACGCTAGATTAAGGGATTATTACAAGCCAAACACGGCAGTAAGACTGAGGTTGAGATCAGCTACAGCTCGAAGCTAGCTAGACCTGCAACCAGTTGATCTTGACTAGTGGTGGTGATGTTGAGGTGGAGGATGCGGTCCCGGAGGGCCTGGTGGAGGATGTGGTCCCGGCGGCCCTGGTGGAGGCGCATGGGGACCTGGAGGAGGCGGAGGACCATGATGATGAGGAGGCCCTGGAGGTGGTGCCTGTGGAGGCGGTGGCTCGTGGTGAGGTGGTGGTGGTCCTTGTGGCGGTGGATGATGATGAGGGTCGTGGGGTGGATGGTGCATCTTCGCCTGCTCTTCTAGTTCCTTCTTATCTTTCTTGGTGGTATGTCCCAAAGTGTTTCAGATGCAACACTGAATTTATATTACGTCACAACTGCAAGTCATCGCACATTAATTCTCACCTAAGAGTCAAAAGAAAAATCAGTTTAGGCTCTTTTATTGAAATTTTTTTAATTAAATTATTAATAATGATTGTTAGGACAAAATTTTTATCGTTAAATTTTAAAACAAATTTATTACTTATCGATAATAGTATAAATTTCTTTAAATAATAATGTTATAATTATAATATTAATTAAAATTATAAATTTATAATTATAATATATATTTTTTATTTTAATTACACAATCGAAAGCAATTATTTTTTATCAACGCATATGTCATGTGATTTAAATTGAATATCTTTTATTTTTAACGAAAAAAGATAACCATTAAATTATTTAATTTATTGATATAATTATGATATATCATTAAATAAATATAATATATTATTAAATATATAAAATAAATACAATATCATAAATAAATATATAAATAAAAAATAATTATTTAATAATATATTATATTATAAATTTATAATAATATTATTATAAATATGTCATTTTTGTCAAATAAATTCCCATAACAATTTATTCTCAAAATTTCATTCTAAAATTTTCTTTCGTTCAATAATTGTTACTCTTATATTATTTATGTGGACACGATCATTTTACTTCGACATGCTATATGGATTGGCCTTACCTATTTTAGGAAAATCTCTTGTCGTGGTAGGGCTTCTATGTAAATCTCTTTTTTATAATTTTTTTAAAATATAATGTTTAAATTTATAAGTTAATTTTAAAATTTATATTAATTATTTATCAATTATCAATTATTTTTAATAATAAAATTAAATAAAAATTTACAATTTTGTTAAATAAAAAATTTAAATATAACTTTTCAAATGGTTGAAAAATAAGTTTTAAGAAAAAAAGTTCCACTTAACAAAGAGAAAAAAATAGGATTTTTTTGGCTGAAAAAATTGTATAGTACTATTATTACAAGTTTTAAATTTTTTAAAAAAATTAATACGAAATACTCTAAAAATTAAATTTTAATTTTAATTTAACAAATTTATAAATTTATAAAAGAAATTTCCCAAAAGCAAGCTTGGTTTTCACTTTTGGCAAACAGCTCCTAAACCTTGTCGGTGGAGGCTATGTTATTTGCAATACAGAACAATTCCTCAATTGTCAACAAAACTTTTTATCCTGTATCAAGAAATCTAGATTTTTTTATCCAACTATTTACACGTGGCAAGTAAAATAAGGTTCTTAGATTACATTCTCTTATTTGAAAACACGTGTAGAAAGAGAAAAAGACATATGCCATATTTTCCGATAAAAGCCATTCTCCTCGTTTGCCGACATAAGAAAATCTTAATTAATTATAGAAAATATTTTCATCATTCCAAGAAACCTAACAGCCAAATCACCAAATTTATACCAAAAAATCCTCGTGTTCAAGCGAAACAAAATTTCTATTATGAATATAAATATCTCCAAATTCTATCAAGTGGACTACAAAAAGACCCAAGAAAAAAAAAAAAAATGCCAAATGAATATTTTTAGAATCTTTTAAATTTTATTAGAATCAAAACCTAAAAAATACAAATTGTTATTTGCTATCCTCTAGTTTTTAAATATTTAAATAAATACTAAATTTAAAAAATTACATTTAAAAAATTTTAAATTAAATGCTAAATATATTTTATACTTGAACTATATCCAAAGATGCTCAACCTCTAAGGTTTCAATGAAGATAAAGTGAGTCGTACCTAAGAATTACGAAAGAAACCATTAGTTTTTCAGAAGTTTTTATTCGCTATCAGAAAAATCTTTGGATATTCTTTTCTAGACTCTTAAAAGTTCGCTGATTTTTCTTGTCATTAACTCTTACCCCTTTTACCCAAAGAGGCTAAAGAATAAAGAATAAAGAGAATTACTTTTTGGCAAGCGTAAGAAAAGGATATCTATATAAAGAGGCAAGGGAACGAATTGATGCAAATAATTGGATTCAGTATATGCAAATTAATGAAGGCATAAAGTGCCATCAGAAAAACAAAAAGTTAAAATTTTTTTTGTCATATATTTTAATAAATTTTTTTTTGATTCTTATATTTAAGAAAGTTTTTTTTTAATCTTAAAATTTAGTTCTTCAGTCCTTTTTAACCCTTCGGTTAAATTTTTAATTACTTAACACGTTAATTAACGGACCATCTCTCTTCCATTTTTAACGTAATGATGTGGAAAATCCACTCAATAAAAGATGATGACATGACATACCATTTAAACATGTCAAAAGGTTTTCTTTTCATATAAGTATCTGTATTTTATATTTTATAATTAAAGTTAAGTAGAATGCAGCCTATAACAAGATTAAAATATTAAGATTTATTTAATTTACATTTTTATAACATAAATTAAAAAATATATATATTTTTATAATTAATTTATATAAAAAATTATAAAAATTAATTTGTATTTTAATATTATTAATATATAAATAATTTTAATTAATTAATTAAACTAAAATTAACAGTCATACTTTAATAAAAAGTAGAATTATAGAAAGTAAAATTAAAAAGAACCTGTAAGCCCTCTTTCTTCACCCCGTTTCCTCTTTTTCCCTTGCTCTCAAGCCTCTCTTCTGTTTCTCTGATGAGCCCAGGCACTTGCTTTGGGTTCATCTAGCACTGAAACAACAAAATTTCAAACCGAAAACATGGCCTAAACGTGAAATTCTCTTCTTCCCTTTCGAAATCAAGTCACAATCTGGGTTTCTCCTCTCTCCTCTCCCTTTTCTCTCTCTCCTCGGCCTGAAAATTGTGAAATTCTCCCTTGCACTAAGGTTGAATTTATACCCATTCTAGGGTTGCAATATCGTGCTGAGAGTGGCAACGAGGAACCCCATGTGTGGGTTCCTCCTTGTAGCGGGAGGAACCCGGATGTAGGTTTTCTTTTTTTTCTTTTTTTCTTTTTTGGATTTTTTTCCCTTGTTGGTTTTGGGATCCAAGAGTCGGCAGAATTAAATTAGCTGATGGCAAAAATATATCCTTTTGGGTTGATAAGTGGACTGGAGATGACAGTTTAAGGGACTTGCTCCCAAAACTTTTTCCCTTGTCTACAGATAAATGGAGCTCGGTTCACCAAATGGACTACTGGACTGGAAATTCTTGGAGCTAGAATCTATGATGGAAGAAATGAGGCTGAAGATGGTTCGGGGACTCTTAATCAAAGTTGGAACCCAATGGTGCCAAGTAAAGTCTGCACCTTTGCATGGCTGCTGCTATAAGATCGTATATCAAGTAAGGCCAACCTGTTGAGGAGAAATGTCATCAAAGATGCCCTGATGCAAGGTGCGTGTTTTGTGGGATCATAACTGAAGATGCGAATCACTTAATGTTGCAGTGTGATTTCTCCTATAAAATATGGACCAAGTGTTTTGAATGGTGGGGTATCCAATATGTTATGCACAACATTGTAAGGCAGCGTTCACCCAACACACATGGGCAGCAAAGAACAAAAAAAGGATGGCAGATTGTTTGGTATGCAATTGTTTGGTCACTTTGGTTGGCAAGAAAAATGCTGCAATTTTCAGTGAAGGCAAGATGACTAAGGACTGTGTGCTCAAGATGATTCAAAGGCATTCCTATATTTTGATAAGTGGAAATTTAGAAGGTTGGCCTTATTCTTTCCTTGGCTGTTGCCAAAACCCAAGCAGGAACTTGATTACAAAATGCTATAATAAATTTTAATTAGTTGGTGTTAGTTCACTAACAAAACTTTCTTTGTTTATGGGTTTGAGTACCCTTGTACTCTTTAAATAAATTAGTTCTCTTGGTATTTTAGAAAAAAATTTCTATAATTTAAAATGAATTTTTATTTTATGTTTTTGTGTATTTTATAAAGCAATAAAAAAAATCAATTATTCTTTATATAAATTGTTAAATTATTATTAAAAATTCTTGTTTAAAAAGTCAAAAAATCAACCTAAAGCTACTAAATTTGAACAAGAGAATAAATAAGGGTGTAGATATAAGGATAACTTTTTTTGTACCATCTTTTTATACAACTTTCACATATTATTAAATAAGTAGATGCGTTTAATATCAGGGGTCTCAAATGAATAAAAAGAACTAATTATTTAAATAATATATAAGATTGTATAAAGAGATGATATAAAAAAGTTATCTCTAAATATTTTTCAATAAATAAATTGAATTGTAATAATAGAGGCGTTCTTGTCCACACAACAAATATTTTTAGCTAATCTTATATTAATATCATAATCAACCAAACATGTCATTGGATCCAAATATGTCTCATCCTATTTAATCCAATCAAATCTTATATTTGAAATCATATCCCATTCAATCCAATCCTGAGTTCAACATGAGACTAGATTGAACTAGATTGAACTAGTTTCAACATGTAGGATTAGATTAGATGAGATATATTTATATCTAATGATATGTTTGGTTGACTAATGAGTTAAGTTTACATTAGATATCCATCATTAAACTTTTTTTTATACCCAAATAAACAAAAAAAAAAAAATGAAACAATTAAAATTAAATTAATTACCTTTAATTAATTCGACAGAACCAATGAACCATAAGAAAGTCTCAAAAAATTATAGTAAATATTTTCCTTGCTTTCCAAGCAAACAGCCAAATCCCCAAATTCATACCAAAAAATTCTCATGTTCAAGCAAAACAAAATTTTGATTACGAATATAAATATCTCCCGATTTTATCAAGTAGACTACAAAAAGAGCTAAAAAATAAAAAATAAAAAGCCAAATAGTTTTTCTGGAATTTTTTGAATTTTATTAGAATTAGAACCAAGAAAATACAAATTGTGATTTGCTCCAAAGAGACTTGACCTACGCCTCAGATCTGTAAGTAATTGACGGTTGGTAGGGAAAAAGATTAGTTAGTAGTCGCCGGTGACCACGCCGATCCCAACTCTTAACACAAAAGTCAAAGGATATAAATTGAAATAGATCAAAAATCTTTTCTAAATTAAGTCGATAGTAATAAAAAAGTGAAAAAGAAAAGTATTTTAATGAAAGAAAGAGAGTATCTATTACAGGTTTATATCCGGCAGCATATAATAAAAAAAAAAAATTGAAGGTTTCAATGGAGATAAAGTGAGTTATATATAAGATTGCGAAAAAAAATCATAAATTTTTCAAAGGAAAATAATACATACTCCCTATTTAGTTATTCTTTTACACATTGACGGTATTTGTTACTTGTGTGGTTAAAACTAATTGTTTTTATTACTTGTATAGTTAAAATTAATAATTTCTATTATTTATGTTATTAAAACTGACGGTATTTATTACATACTAACGGACCATATATTAGTATGTAATAAAATATGTAATTTTGTATAATATATGTATCATTATCTTTTTTTAATAAAAGCTCGAGGTTTTATTCCGTATTAGAAAAAATATTTGTATATTCTTTGCTAAACTCTTAAAAATTTGCTGATTTTTCTTGTCATTAACTCTTATCTTTTGTGCCTGAAAAAGGCTAAAGAATAAAGATAATTACTTTCTAGCAAAAGTAAAAAAAGAATATATCTACATAAAGAGGCAAAGGAACGAATTGGTTCAAATAATTGGCTTCAGCAGATGCGAATTGACGAAGGCATAAAGGGCTATCAGCAAAATATATTCAATCCTCGGTAGCAAAAAAAAAAAAAAAATGGGGATGGCCTGAACAATTTTTCTAGTAGCAGTTTGGTGTATCATTTTAAAATCTCATGTTTGAATTATTTAAACTCTATTTAATATGACTGTAATTTTAAAATTTTTATTTTGATTTTCAAAAATTTAAAAATCCTAAAATAAAACTAAGAAGTTCTATAAATTAATTAAATTTAGAGTTTTATATATTTACTTTAAAATTGTGTACTCAATAAGTTGACAATTTTTATTTTTATTTTTAATTATTATTTTTGATTGTTTAAATTTTGAAAAACAAAGCCAAAAATAAAAAACCATAATTATGCTAAACGAAGCCTAAAACTTTGGTATGATTGCTATTTTTACTTTT